TAGCCAAATGTTTTTTGTGATAGGGTTCGGTTTGGTCTCAACAGACAACTCGATCTATGCTAGTTTGCAGGTCAGTTACGATTCGCTCATTGGAGCTGCAATAAACAAAGAGGGTAGCGAGAGCTGGGACGCTAAATCCTCGATTGTCCCCTGGTGGGTGGGCTCAGGCGGACGCTCGGCGTGGCGTCGAGGTTCACAGCCGAGAAACACTTCAATGCGCGAGAACACTTGTTGCAAGGGTGTGTGAGTAAATGAGAGCTGAAATTTGGTGCTTTTTCTACGTCATAGATTTATGAGAATAATGACTTTGTTGTGGATTTGCAGATGATTGTCCCTCTTTTGTTCCCTTACTTCGCATGTTGAGCTTTAAGCTTTACAAAAATCAGATTTAAAAAAAAAAAATCTGTTCAACACCGGTATTTCCATTATTTTGAGGAATAATAAACAGCAATAAGCGTCAGTCAGCAGCCCGTAGAGCCTGTTATCAATCAGCACAAGCAAATATTTCATGCCACGGAGAATAAAGGCAAATGGTCCTTTAAATATAAAGCACCGCAGTATCGGAAAGTCTAGAGCTCCTCAATCCGCGTGGAGACGCGTTCATCACTCCACGTGGGACGAGTGAAGCTGGGCCGGGACTGTCAGGGAAAGAGGGACGTCTTTTATATCCAAAGTGTCCTGGTGATGCGCACTGAGACGGGCATGCACTATTCAAACCCCCTCCCCGGCGAGGTTACCCGATCAGGAGGCATGGGAAAAGTCGAGGTTGCGAACTGTGAACTGTCTTGCCCCCCCCCCCCGAAAGAGCGTTGGATTTCAAATGCTCATCAGTCGAGCTGCAAATATGCGATCAAGCGGCAGATTTCACCTGCAGCCCTTTGAACCCTGCAGCCGCTCCTCGAGTCCCTCTTCATTGCAGGGAAATACTGAACAAGTTTTTTTGTTGTGGGGGAGATCCCCCCCCCCCCCCCCCCCCCCAAATTGGCCCCCCGGTAAAAAAAAAATCTGAATATTGGGATTTGGTGTTGAGGAAACACACTCAGCCAGGGAATCATCTGTGGGGAGAGGGGGTTGTGGGGGTTATTTCGGATACCACATTAAGAATCTATTATGCACCGAAAAGAAGGAATGGGGGGGGGGGTGTACAGCACCCGTTTGATGAGCAGTGCGCGGCTCCCCGGGGGGCACGGTGAGGGCGGAGTGGACGTTCGCCGGGATGCGGCACCGGAATCGGACAACAAACCACACAAACAGTGTTCCATGCTCATCGACGGCGAGTCCGTTAAAGCCCGTTACCGTGAAGGAGTCACGTGGCTCGCTGCGACTTCTTACCTCTGAGGCGGTTTTGGGGTTGTTTTTTCCAAACATCGTCCCCCGATGCCGTCGATGGTCACCGCGTTGGAGTTTTCATTTCCACAATAATCCCAGTGCTCGTTTGTAAATCTCCAGCTCCTCGTCCCGGATTCCCGGTGTCGCTCGATCGCTGCTCGACCCCCCCTCACCCCCCCTTTCCCCTCCTCGGTGCGCGTAAAAAAAAAAGAAATAGAAGAAGAATGTTCGCGAGCGAGGCGCGCCCCGCTTTGCCGCTCTGAGACCCGCGCACCGACCGATCCACCTGCGCACCGACCGCCTCCAAATGCGCACCGACGCCTCCAAATGCGCACCGACCGCCTCCAAATGCGCACCGACCGCCTCCAAATGCGCCTCGTGGTTCTTTTTTTAAGTTTAAACCAACGCAGTGGGGAACTTTCCACGCAGTTCTTGTCTTCGGTTCTGATGCGCGTCTATAGATCAAATGTCCACTGACGCGCTGCAGCGACGAGGAGAAGGAGGATCACATCCACAACGAAAATAGGTGGTTGTTGTTGTTGTTGTTGTGGTTGTTGTTGTTGTTTTTTTCCGCGCTCTGTGCTGTTGTCTGCGGGTTGATGTGACCGCGAACATCCGCAGCGCCTCGTCCTCTCCGTGCACCGACTGCGCCCCGCGTCGCCGGCAGACGGACCGGAGACTCTACGGGCACGTGACACGCGCGCGCGGGCACACGTACATATACACGCGCGCGCACACACACCCACACGCGCACGCACACACTGGGCGTTCCGCATCGCACTCACACCGCCTATAGGAGAGATGTGCGCGGGGATGATGATGATGCGCCTTTTTGAAGGGTTTATATGAAAGTAGCGTAATTAATGGCTTCGCGGTCGTTTATTGGTGGAACCCTCTAATGAATCATTTGCTTGCGATGTGCAGACTTGGCTTTTATTTTCACGGATTAATGAATACCTCATCTAACAATCACTGCGTTTATTGCACGTCACATTTAATCTGAATTCACGTGGGTCAAATTCTCCATCGGGAACAGTTTGAGGGTTTTTACAACCGACTCAAAGATGACAGGACAAAGGTGTTGATGGTTTCATTCTTAATTCTCCGGTTTAAATGGACATCTGGATTCTACTGGATTCAACTTGAACAACGCAAATCTCGTCTTCAGAACCCCCCCCCCCCCCCCCCCCCCACAAAAAAGAATTCTAAGAAACTTAGTTTGAAACCGGATGCCATGCCCTCCATTTGTCACCCTGCCGCACAACTGTGAAAAGCAGGTTTAAAGGTCAGCGGTGAGAAGATTAAATTACAGGGTTATTTCAGTCATACAAAAGAAAAACTCTTTCAGCTTCAGCTGGCGGATCAAACTCCAGGTGACTAAAGACAAAAACATGAGGACAATGAGGCTGACAGGCAGAGTTCATCTGCTGCCTGGAATCGATGTAACACAGATGTAACACAGATGTAATACAGATGTAATAGATGAAGTGAAGGAGTCCTGTACATTTCTTCTGACGTTTGTGCCACTTGAAAGTTCCGGCCTGCAGGTGACGTTGAGCACTCAGCATAGTCAACGGGGAGGAAATGATGCCTTGGATATCCGCTCGGACCCCACCCGTTGACCCCAGATCTTCACGCGCGCTCTCATGCTTCAGCCTCAGCCGTCATCTTCTCCACCCGCATGCAGCACCCGGAGGTGTGGTCACTGCCTGTGATCCCGGCGAGGGACGTACGAGGCGATAATTCACACAGCTAATTAAACAGCAGAGCAGACAGCCATTGTTAGTGGGTCACACGTTCTACCAAGGTGACATTTGGATCATTCCCCGTAGGAAAGTGGATTATTTGGAACAGCAGCTGTTCCGAACTTCAGAACACCTGCAGGAGAAGCTGTGGGTTTTGAATCGAGCAGAAGGGCTTCGTCTTGTACTCTGATCGAGAGAAAAAAGTCCCAGCAACACTCACTGAATGTGAAAGCTAATCTCTAATGCACTTTCATTCCCACAATAAACCACCAAGGAAGGAGAAGAACCGCCGAGTTCCTCGGCTCTCGTCTTTGAACGGACGGCCTGCAGGAATATGAAAGGCCTCACTTCAACAGAAACGGTCCGAGCACTCAGAACCCCTGCAGGGGATTGAACTCCCCACATCCTCAGCAGCTCCTTTCCTGCTGAACAGACAAAGGCTTGACTGGGGTCTTTCTTGTCATAGTTTGTCACCATCAAACCTCCAGTAAGGAGTGATCGCTGGCAGTGCACACAATTCACACGCTGGAAACACACTGCAACATCCGCCCGCTTTAATCCAAAAGGACCCGTGTTTCAGTGTCACTCAGAACCGTGACGGAGGCCAATTCTACCTGCAGCCCAGACACTTGCTCATGAATGTACTTTACACGACAGTATCTCATGTTTCCAATGCACCTGCCAAGCAAATCATCCTGCAAACTCTTCAACTGCTGCAATAAAGAAACAAGCCTTTTTTCTTGCAATTGTGTTACATTTGCAGAGAAAGTTGCATGCAAGGATACAATTACCTGTAGATCCCTGAGAGCTCTGACTGCGTGTAGTTCACTGCAGATCGCACTGCACTTCCATCTATCTGTTTGAAATGACAAATCATGGCTTTGAATGCGTTTTAATCCCCGTGGAGACTCATGGGTGTCCGCAGACCGCATTTCCATCCAAGTAATACCAAAGCTTTGCAACAGAGCTGCTAGCAATAGAAGGGAGGACCGGCATGGAGGATTAAACAGCTGTCCCACCAGAGCGCAGGATTCCCCCCCGTAGAGGACGGCCGGAGACACCCGACGTCCTCGCAGTCGCCCAGATCTACTGTTAAAGCATAAGGCCTCTCCTGGGCCTGGACAACGTACCACTCAATAGCGTAAATCCAGCACCTGCTTTGCGTGATGCCACAGAGCCGAGGACCTGATCGGTGGACAGATAGAGAGACACGGCAAAGACACAATGTCAACCTGTAGCAAAGAGATTTGTAGCGCTTTGTCCCCCGTCTCAACCATGACATTATAGTTTAACTAATTTTCTAATAACTTCTTTGTTGAAAAGTTTTTTTGTGAGGAGATTGTCCTGCTCCCATGCAGAGGATGTCGTCTGCCGTCCACATTTTAAAGCTGCCTGAGGCAAATGTGTGCTGTTCAGCATTTTAAATCAAATTGAATTACCATTTATTTAAATTTACAAAAACGAAATGAGCTCATGACAGGAAGAAGACGTAACAAACCCCGACAGATAATAGCTTCAACCTGAACCTCTGAAAAGAAGTGTTGATGAAAAGGGAAGAGGAGTCGAGGCCATCCGTTAAATTCATCTGATTGGAAGCAAAGTGTTTGTTAACAGCTGACAGCTTCCGGCTGCGGGAGGCCGTCTCCCTCCAGAGAACATCCATGTTTTCATCAGGGAATCATAAACGTCTCCACAACTGCTCAGTCATCACAACACAATCAGCAAGTCAGACGTAACCGTTTTCCGTGCAGCAGAAAGCGTTGGTTTATTCAGATGAGACTGTTGTCTGTTGAACACGAATATCTGGTGCTAATATGGTGGAAATCCATCAAATGCGCGTTGAGATGTGTTCATTGGAAGCAAAGACACCTAATTGGATCAGAAGAGCGTTCCCCTCTAGAGAATAATGTCACTGAATGACACAAACTGCTCCACATGTTACTTCTTGCTTGGTGTCACTTATTGGCAGGTAATTCTTCTCATTTAAATAACCTTCTGTTGTGTGACGAAAGAGTGACGAGATTACAACAGCTCTGCTACGCGTAGGACAGCGTGAACGTTTAAGCAGGAAAGTAAGCGATTTTACTTACAAATTAAATCCCTAATGCCACATGACCACATGACCGCGGGGAGATGTGGTTTCTTTTTACTCACAGAAGAGATTCACAGAGTTACAGAGCAAAAGAAAGCAAGTTTCCATCTGCACAGAAGCTTGAACCTGGAGATCAATAGACGGGTTTGACCTCCGTGTCCCCCGACACGAGTAATCACTGGTCACGTCAGCCACTAATCAGGGAGGTTCTTCTTCACGTTGACCACCCTCGTTTCCTTCAAGGACTTTTTATTAAATGTAGAAGAGGATGTAATAAGTGCATATTGACCCGTTTCCACGCGCACGTCGGATGCTAGAGGGACTTTGTGTAACAAGCTGCGTTATTTATCGCATTGGGGCGAGAATGAAACAATCCACTGATTAACAAACCGAGCGCAAGTACAGTGTATTGTGGCGACTGGCTGACCTTTGCCCTTTGCCCTGTGGATAAAATAAACGTAATTGGCAAGCGAGCCTGTGGATGAAACACGTCCGGTTTGAGGATTACAAGCTGTAATTCTCCGTCAGCTGAAGTTGTTGTGCTTTAAGTGGGGAGCTGCTAGCAGCATCAGCGTCATGGTGCTTTGGCCCAGAGCAGCTGGTTTTACATCGGGAAGCGGTGGGTGGCGGTGAGTTATGTAAGATGTGAGCGAGAACACACTTTCACTGGGTCTGATGTGGATTCTTCCCGCCACACGGTATTAGCGTTAGCCGTTCACATCGTGCCGATGTTCAAACAGGGGGCTAAAGAAAAAAAAAAGTCCACATCTTCAAGCCTCAAGGCCCTCTTTTCCCTTTTCTCAGAACCTCCCATCTTCTCGGGCGGCTTCCTCTCTCGACTCGCCCGCGAGTGTCACGCACAACGTGTGAGGAGCGATGGCTTCTCGGTCATCTGGGAACCTGCACGGACTCGTAGCGGAAGAAAAAAACACGGCGACAGCGAAGCGCAGGGAGGAAGGCGCGCTCGTCGCCCGGGATGCGTTCCCAGGAGCAGACGGAGGCCTAAACTCACGCTGAATCCTGATGAAGTCAGAGACAGAAGACAAGCTGTTCGTCTCGCATGGAGACGTACAGAGGCACCAAAGAGATGCATGAATAATCATGTAAAATACTTGTTTTTGTACCAAAACGGTTGCTTACGTAAAGCAGAAGATAAAAACCTTGAGCGTTTCGTGCACCGCTTCCTAAAGATGTTAAAGTCAGAAGCTAATCGTGTTAGCGCTCCTTTTACTGCGGGGCAGATGATGTCACGGACGCACAGCTCAAGAGGACAAACTGCCGTGTACACTGGACAGAGACCTTTGGATTATGGAAGAGGAGACGTGCAGCTGCCAGGACAGAAGGAGGAGTATCTCTATTCTGAGGCTCCGTCACATGCATGTGTCACTATTGCTCAACGGGACGAGGATGAGCATCGATTGACTTTCAGCGCTCACATTCAAACAGACTTTGCAGCCTCCAGAATTGGCTCCGACCACCTCATGTCTCATTTGTGTCAAAAAGGGAGACTCCTGAAGACGAACCAGCATGGCCGGCTTCAGCCTGATGTTCTGCGTCGCCTTGGGAGACTCAAGTCGAGGGTATTTGACCGGGGTACAGATTCCTGATTACGACGTGTCCCTCGACTGAGAAGCGATCGCCGTGATGCGTTTATGAAATCATCCACAGGTCACAGCACTCGTTATTCCGGATTTACTTTAGACGTGAAATGCAATTACACAACTCGTCCCGGCGAAGCCTTTCTTGCACTCGCCTAACGTCGGGCCCGGGTCGACGACATGGGGGGGGGGGGCGAGGTTGGCCGACCAAGCGGTGATTGGAAACATTAATCCGCTTTATGCCGC